TACTGTCAATGCCCAGGAGATGCCAAGCAGTGCTACAAGCTAACGGTGGTCACAACAGATGCTGACGTCAAAGCCGCCGTCTAGTGCAGCGTTACAATTGTGGTGAAATTGAGTGACCATTGACCATGGACTCTAATCATGTGACATTTGACATCTGTGACATTCATTTCCGCTTTGGTATCTTAATTCATTATAAAGGTTTTCTGTTATAAAATTTACCCCTGTGCGTTTTGGGGAGACTATATTATCAAGTTACAACCATCCTCAAAATTAAGTCAATGTTTGCCTGCGGGAAAGAAAACACATCGATGAGAATGGTAAACCAATTCAGAATCCTCGTTTTGGTAACCCTTCTTTGTATAACTCAGTTAATTCTTGGATAAATGGTCCTGGTTTTTCAGGGGGAAGCTTGGTCAACTTTATTAGCCAAATCTGGGCGTGAGCGAACCATATTCCAGTTATCGCTATCACGTAAACAAGTGACAAGTGGTGACTAACTAGCAGGTCAGTTAGTCCAAACGAGACAGATCACGTCGGCCCAGGACGACCTGGAGTAACATAACCAGCACAGGACTATTGAGAGTAGCACAAAGAGCTCAGGAATATCGAGAGTAACGGGCCAGCTCAGGGCGACAGAGAGTAACATGTCAGCTCAGGACGACCGAGAGTAACACGTCAGAAGTCAGGACGACCCTTGAGTAACACAACACGCTCAGGACGACCTAGAGTAACACACAAGATCAGGACGACCGAGCGTGACACAACCAGCTCAGGACGACAAAGAGTACCACACAAGATAAGCACGACCTAGAGTAACACACATCGGCTCAGGGCGACCTAGAGTAACACAACCAGCTCAGGACGACAAAGAGTACCACACAAGATGAGCACGACCTAGAGTAACACACATCGGCTCAGGGCGACCTAGAGTAACATACGTCAGCTGGGGACGACCGAGAGTAACAGAACCAGTTCAGGACGACAAATAGTAACACAACCAGCTCAGGACTATCGAGAGTAACAGGTCAGCTCAGGACGACCAATGGTAACACAACTAGCCCAGGACGACCTATAGTAACACAACCAGCTCAGGACGACCTATAGTAACACAACCAGCTCAGGACGACCTAGAGTAACACAACCAGCTCAGGACGACCTAGAGTAACACAAAAGATGAAGACGACCAATAGTAACACAACCAGCTCAGGACGACCTTGAGTAACACAACCAGTTCAGGACGACCTATAGTAATACAACCAGCTCAGGACGACCTATAGTAATACAACCAGCTCAGGACGACCTAGAGTAACACAAAAGATGAAGACGACCAATAGTAACACAGCCAACCCAGGACGACCTTGAGTAACACAACCAGTTCAGGACGACCTATAGTAATACAACCAGCTGAGATCGACTTGAGTAGCACACAAGATACGGACGACCAATAGTAACACAACCAGCACAGGACGACCGAGTAACACAACGAGCTCTGGACGACCGGGAGTAACACAACCAACTGAGGAGGATCGAGAGTAACACAAGGAGTTCAGGACGACCGGGAGTAACACAACCAGGACAATTAACAATAACACCAAAGCTCAGGACGATCAACAATAACATGCAACCTCATGACATTTACCAGTGATACGCTAGCTCAGGACAATAAACAGCAGCAAACAAGCTCAGGACGATCTCAAATAACACTTCAGCTCAGGACGACCTACCGTAACACACCAGCTCAGGACGTCCAAGAGTAACACACCAGCTCAGGAAGATCTTTGATATTATCATATCCAATCCTGGCGATGTAATGATGACCTGCAGACTACACGTTACTACTGCACAACCTTCATACAACAAACAGCAAACACGTGTCTTCATTGAATATTTTATTCAAAGAATTTACTTCTGGCATCTTCATAAATCTGCAGAAGTGTAAATATAATAGATACTTTTACAAAATATAGGTTATAAATCCATGTATCATGTTTGACTCGTACAGGGGTGTGTTTTTCAACAAACGATATGCATTCACTCTATAACATAACAACACGATCCGAGCACCGTAAATTAAATAATAACAAAATAGTATTTACAAAACCAACAAAACAATTAGCAATGAGGTAAACATTTAAATGAACGTAGTAAACAGAGTGGTAACATTAATTTATAATCTCAAGAAACGTTACTGTGTTATATTATGTAAAGGACTTCAGATACAGCCCTGTTGAAACAACTTAAAGGTTCTTGCACTATACAGTTGGGGCGTCATATTCTCGTTCTGTTCAGGAAAAAATGGTTTAAAAGTGTATTAATCTTCTTTCGTTTGTGGTCTATCATTATTAAGGTTTGTAGTTTTCAACACAGCTGTAACTTTACTTCTGGCATTTTTCTTGACTGTTATAAGGCACATGAAAATGGCAACTGGCTCACTACACTACATGTATGTTGGTAGGCGACGCCATTACATGTGTGTTACTGAGCTGCATTATTACATTGTGTCATGGAACTACATATGTATATGTGTGTCGTACAGCTGCATTATTATTATTGCATTGTGTCGTGGAGCTGCATTATTATTATTGCATTGTGTCGTGGAGCTGCATTATCACATGTGTGTGATATATCTGTATTATAAGATGTGTGTCGTGAAGCTGCATTATTAAATTATGTTATTAAGCTGCATTATTACATGTGTTGTCATGGAACTACATTATTGTATGTGTCGTGCAGCTGTATTCTTACATGTGTGTCATGGAACTGCATTATTACATGTGTCATATTGCTATATTATTACCTATGTGTCATGGAGCTGCATTATTACATGTGTGTCATATAGCTGTATTATTACCTATGTGTCATGGAGCTGCATTATTACATGTGTGTCATATAGCTGTATTATTACCTATGAATCGGTCGACTACACTATAACATGTGTGTTATTGAGCTGCATTCTTACAAGTGTTGTCATGAAGCTACATGATATGATATAACGGAATGCGGTTTTGTGGTTCAAATGTGTTACAAGGAATGTGGTCGAGCGTGACGACATGAATTACATAGAGTCCATGCGCGTTGGGGAATGTATTCACTGCAGTTGGTAATGTCTTTTGGAATGTGTGAATGTTAAATGTATTTTTATGGAATGATATCAGATATGTGTAAATGTGCATCACTGAATGACATCATGCATGTCTATATGTGCGTCACGGAATGTTGCTCTGCACTTGCGTCACATGTCCTCAGGTTAGTGAGTGTTCAAGGTTACGACGAATAATAGAAATATCGTAAACTGATCCATGCGCCTAAGTTGGTTGGACTGATCAGATTTGTAACTTTGTCATCCTTTGTAACAGGTCGTGTTCTGGAGTCCGATTTGTCAATATCTGCTGACATAACAGCAAAAGTTCAATTATAAATAGGCCAAAATTTTACGGTTCCTTCATTTTTGTCCTATAGTGTGTTTAAGAAGCCTGCACGTCTTGCAGACGTCGTGTGTGCTGTGATGTGTGTAATTTGTACATGAGTCTGTAAGTGTCGGATGTAAACGTGGTTTTGAAACAAGAACACGAATTCAAACACAAATGTGAACATCACAAACAAAGTCTACAGCATACAAATATGTAAAGAGGTTTCACAACGAGGCTTGCACTTTAAGGGCAAAGAATGACGTACACAACTCATTAACTAGGTATCTTGAAGACTAGACGTGGAAGGTTTGCACTTTAAGACAAACTGGATTTCCAAACATTAGGGGCCGACCAATGTATTGCCAGAAGTCTGCTAGTTTTTTTCTTCAGGACTATACATATGTAAATCGTTATTTTCCAAAGCAGGTAATTAATTTTAACCGATCTGAATGTCAAATAATAAAATATAGCCAAGTTTTAGATGAAATAGAAGTTCAGATTTAATAGAATGATCGGTCCCTTTATGATAATTGCGCAAACTTCGATTCAACCGGGAACTTATATATTTTTCACGCTTCGCGTCGATGTTTTGTATGAAATGCGATAATTATCTACGTCCATTTAATATGTGCCTTTGCAGCTCGTGTAAGTTACCATGCTCTTGCAGTCTGGCAATGGTGGCAACCGCCAACACTGCAGTATTATGCTATAGTATAGTCACAGTGTCGTACAATACTAGAGTGTCCATTTAACAGTATCAGAAAGGGATTTATAAGATTGACTGGACAGTGCTAGCAAGGGGTGGACATGAGAACTGCCTGGTCAGTACAGCACAGGCTTGTGTACACCACGCCTCTCTATCACCCGTGAATACATAGGACCACGATGAGGTGTAGAGCTAAATTTAGCCAACCAATCCGACAAGGCCTGTTTCCAGCGAGACGGATGCTCTAGCCAATGAGCGCGAGGATTACATCCATGACAACGCTTCTCCCTTGACAACGTATTAGGGCTGGGGCGAGTCCAAATTTACAACACGGGTACCCATCCCCCTATTACTCGACCCTACCCGGGTACCAGCTGTAGGTCTCAAGAGATAGGTCCAAATGTCCGACTGGGAATAGTTTGACCGTAGCCCTGGCAAAATGTATTTGGATACTCATATAAACCGATTTGGTCATACATCAACTGAAGTTGATTGAAGTTTTATCTTTATGCAAACATATAAAGTCAGAAGGAATGCAAACATTCTAGAGTTCTGGATACTTTTTGTCATTCAACAATATATCACGTGATTAACCACGGGTCCGGGTAGTCCTGTGGGTACCAAGATCCTACTCAGTACCCACCCGACCCGAGAACCCGAGTTACCCGTCCCAGCCCTACAACGTATGCAAGACACATTGCTTCATGGCAGCTAATGGTTGGGTTCGTAAAAGGCTCATGAGTGAGTGAGTTGGGTTTAACGCCGCTTTTAACAGTATTCCAGTTATATCACGGCGTGTCAGCTTAATGTGGGAGGAAAGCCCGAAGTGATGCAGGTCTCAGACGTTTACCACACAGGTATGGTGCTGACAAACCTTGAAACATAATTGGGGCGAACCGGGATTCAAACCCACAATCATAGGTTTCTGGCGTGCCCAAGGAACGCAACTCTGCACAGCGAATCGCGGCGCCTTAGACGACAGGGCCACCCGTGACCCCGTAGACCTCATGCCCGGTATTAGGGTTAAATGACTGTCGCGAGTTGCACACGGCCGAATGAGCCAACATAAGGTACAATAGACACGCGTCACCACTACATTGCAAAGTGGACGTATGTATGCACGGGTGAAGAAGAAACGCAGATTATACAAGCCCATGACGTACTGACGACGAAGCAATGTTGGAATCAGGGTGTGTCGGTGTGTGTGGTTACAAAGATATCTACACGAACATTGCGCATACATTCTGTGACTAGTTCACACATCATATCTGTACAACATTCACTCATTAAATACAAAAACAAGATGCTTTCAGTATTGTCCCCCGTCACTACACCCTGCCTTAACGACCATTGGCACTGCCGTCTATTATCCAAGGTAGCACAAACGTCCTGGATGACAACATGCGGACCAAGTTGGACGATTTGTCTGCCAGTGAATGTTCCGTGGTTAGCATGGGCTTTGCTAGCACTCTTGTCAGCACTTGGATGAAGGTCGGTCTGTACGCGCTTCGTGATGATCAGCGGTCAGCGGGAGATCCATTGACAGTCATCGCATGACGTATTGTCAGTTCCAGGTTCAATGTTGACCAGCACGTGTGGGCAGTATGGTCATGCGATTGTATATTGTCTTACCACGACATGCTGACACATTTAGATAGCACGTTTTGAAAATAAATCTTAAGGGGGAAAAGAAGTGAACTAATAGCACGTACTTCCCCGGTGAACAGAACACCAACAGAACCTCACTGTGCAGTGTGTGGGTCACCAAGTCCGTGGGATCACCGCGAACTCTGAACAATGTCTTCAAAACAGTAGCAGCTGCCATTTTTTCTAGATGCAGTTAGCACAGATCACTTCCACATCACTGGAGGTCATCAAACAGAATTCCGCTTTTCTCGGACGCGCTCCATGGCTTTCCGCGAGAACTTGTACACCAGTCGCCTCCCTTCCACTCGCTCCAGGATCCCGCGTTTGTAGTAGTGCCTGAAAAGCCATCGAAACGTACGGTTTTTAATAAATACATATACAACAGGAAGTAATGGCCCTTCTTTGTTGGAATTGAAACAAGGAAATGGTGATACGATATGGTAATAGAGGGTACAGAACTAATTTGGGCTGAAACGTTCTTGGTCTGAAGTGAACTTCAGACTGTCGTAACGCCATGCTTACTCTGTGAATCATGGTTCGAATAACTGCACTCATCTCATAAACTTTAGGGGCGGTCGGGTAGCCTAGTGGTTTAAGCGTTCGTCGTCACGCCGAAAACCCGGGTCCGATTCCCCACATGGGCACAATGTGTGAGGCCCATTTCTGGTGTCCCCCGCCGCGATATTGCTGGAATATTGCTAAAAGCGGCGTAAAACTATACTCACTCACTCACTAACCGTGTGCTACCCAACCCATAGATAGGACTCTAGCATTTCCTACCCGTATTGTACCCCTCACATACTACCGTATTGTACACACCTCATAGCTCTGCTGAGTTTCTCGTACGTCATGTTGTCATTGTTCTTGAGCGCCCCCCACAGCTGAGCCACGGCCTCCGACTGGACGAATCTGAAGACCCCCTCTCTCTGGTTCTCCCAGCGCAGGTACAGGGGGTTATACATGGGGTTCAGCAGGGCCTCGTAGATGAACTCCCACAGATGCTGGTTCTTCACTGCACAGACACAGACACAGACACATGAGACATGCACAGCCATCACAACCTTATCTACCACCTTCAATAACCAATGTACTTGTTCCTTTACAATTGCGGAAAAACGCTCATCCTGGACATATTACGAACCTGATAAGATATTATGCCATTAATGAGTGAGTTTGTAAAAGAGTCGGTCAGAGAAATAAAAAGAGCAAAACAATAATTTATTCACTAAATAGTCGGTAAGCAAATATAACACAATTCAACTTTATTGAAGCAAAATAATCGGAAGTGAAGCCATCCGTCGTGTCCATCAGTGAGCTAAAGTAACAATTATTATTCGCATTTTGTGTCATTTACGTTACGGCCTGTGCCCTCGACACATTTTTTTATTAGTTGTTCATTTAGAGAAAAATATCACCATAACAAATGTTATATTTGGGATAACAATACTGGGTTAGTAAAGTGCAGATTCTAGTACTTTTTTGGGGTTGAGCCCAATCCGGGATTCGAACCCACACTCTCAGAGTTAGGCACCTAATAGCCAGAACGCAGTCAGCGATCTAACCCACTCAGCCACCGTGTTAATGAAGTTTTTCCTTTCCAGCGATGTTACCTTTTTTATCTTTTTGTGACCTTGACCCGTCATCTGGAATACTCTTGACCCTTGGTCTTCCGGGTCGTCGCCTAGGCAACTGCTGCGGAAAGTGGTTGCCAGGAAAACTGTAGGTATTTCTGACAGATGTGGAATTCGTGTAATTTTGCCCATGGTAAAAGTAGTCTGGATGGTAGGAATCTGAAGCTGTAATAATAATAATAATAATAATAATAATAATAATAGGTATGCATGATACACTGAAGGGCAAAAGAAAGTATACCAGTTTGTTTTTTATGTAACTGAAAACTGAATAAATTTGAGTAGTCTATTTGACCATCACTTATTCCTGCAACAGATTGTGAAAAGTAATCTGTGGTTGTGCGTATTTTGTGTAAAAAATAATTGGTTCAATGAGGCCTTGGGTAAAAAATGAATTTGCAACCACGTGACCCCTACCCTGTGTGAAATGTTGTAAATTTGTGCCGAATGAAGCAAATGTATTGATATTCAACCATAAGATACCCATCAACAGTTTCGCGAATTTGTTTTTTTATTAAAGTTTTTAATCAAATTATATTTTAGAAAAGAGAAACATGTTTGAATATGCAATGAATGCTATAAGCGCCAGTAGAGTTCATTTTCTGGATAGAATAAGATATTTTCAATTGAAAATCAAACATATGATAAAATCAACTGAGAGGCCGAGTAGGTGAGAATAATGAAATAAAGTTATTTTGTAATTATTATAATATGTCTAGTTATGTATGGTGAAGGGAATGCATAAGTGTGCGTTAAAGGATATTCTCAGCTCCTTTGGCATCAGAGACGATTTCCATTCTACCGGGTACCCAGTCACTGCTCTGTCAACAGGGGCACATGTCTACTAGTCACAATCACAGGCACGGATATATCAGAATTATATTGACAATGTTATGTTCGATGTCAGATTACGAACAAATGTATTGTTTTGTTAAAGGTAATTCGTAGAGAGGCCAAGTCTTTACGTTAGTCAGTGTACGCGAGTAAACGCAACCTACCTGTGTTTGTCTGGAGTTGAGGGGCATCGGCTGGGTCGAAGTCGAAGTACGGAGCCATGTTGTCAATGAGGGAGCATGGCAGAGCCTCTTGGCGTTCAGTCTTGATGCAACCGTCGGTGTAGTCTGCAATGAACATACTTTAGTATCACCAAACCGTTCGTCTGGAACCTTGTTAAATGAGAGCGGGTGGCAATTCAGCTACGACTTCTTTGGAAGAACTTACATTACGTAACGGACAGTTATAGGGAGAAATGTGAACTGGAACTGTCATTTGATCATGGTTTAATAACACTTTGGAGGGACATTTGTGTTACAGATTTAATGCTTTAAGTCGACAATAGACACACAAGGCCCGGTTACATAAAGCTAACTTAGCGCTACGACTACTGTAAGCCTATGTTAAAGTACGGGAGTTGCGATCACCTCAGCACTAAAATCGCTTTGTGGACCCAGGTCTTCAGAGTGAGGATAGTGCAGCACTACTTTAGTGTATACATTGACACACCCATTTAACCATAAGACATATGTGGCGTTTAATGAAGCGCACGTAAAATATTAACATATCCTTACAAACAAACGAATGTCCACATTAACAGATGTGAACACTTCATGAATGAGAATTCATTAATGTTTTGGGAAAACGATTGCTACACCAGAAGTTAACAATATTCGCAGAGGGCGTAATTGTATTAATAGACATTCGAGCAAGTCATTCCCACAACATGGTCGTACACGACATGTGTTTGTGCGCATCCCATATTTCTGCATGCTGACGTGATTGGGTAAACTTGAAGGGGGCAGGCGCACACAGCTTGGACTGACGCGCTTTGATCAGTCGGTGGGATAATGGTCTATACTGCATCAGTGGATCAAGGAAAGCTGTGTCACTGATGGCTCGAGAGTGTTGCTGTGCGACATGTGGGGCTAACCGTTTGTCCAAGTCAGATGAGGGTACAAGAACGTGGTCTTGCTACCAAATAGTGTTGTATAGAGTTTACATAGAGTTGATATAAATATTATGTGAAAAGGTCAAGTACCGATAAGTTCAGTTCATTCACCGTCAAAAGAAACGCGAAACATACAAACATGTAGAGAAGTATGTACGTTAAGAAGAGATGTTTCCAACGTATACCACTTAGTGACATAACTAACAATCAGTCAAGTGTTACCACAGAGTGACTTTATTCTTATCACGAAATGTTGCACGTGATTTCCAAACTTTACACTCTAATCCTGCACGAGACAAATGGTGCATCTTGAGTTATGGATCTATGACGTCACATGTGCATCTGTTCAAACAAAATACCAGTATGTTCGTTTGTGCATCGAACCAATCTAATATCTCATGAACATGAGTAAGTCTTCATATATTAACCAGAGGCGGTCGGGTAGCCTAGTGGTTAAAGCGTTCGGTAATCACGCCGAAGACCCTGATTCGATTCCCGACATGGGTACAATGTGTGAAGCCCATTTCTGGTGTCCCCTGCCGTGATATTGCTGGAATATTGCTAAAGGTGGCGTAAAATCAAACTCACTCACTCATATATTAACCATCACGTATGGTGTTCGCGTTTCCTCAGGCGGTGACAATATCTGTTCTGGGATTAGTGAAGCGTACGTAAAATATATGACTATTGCCAAGGTTCTATGACAATACCACCCCTGGTTCCTTACGAGCTCTGTACACTACGAATAAAGTCTCACCCTGTCCCTTTCACAAGAGCATGACCTCACCTTGATCCTGTTTCCGGACGAGGTTTGTGTACACGGGGGAGTTGCATGGCTGGAAGGCCTGCGCTGCGGAGTCACATGACCCGGGGGTGAAGGACGGTAGGTCTTGGAGGTCGGGAGAGGCCACTTCGGTTGGTTTAGAAAATATAACTGAAATAGATGAGAAGAAATATATACGTTTCCACGAGGTTAAGCCTGCCCGCTCGATCAGACGTATCTTCACGTGGGAGTACTAGTGTTTTGGGACCACATGACGTACGTGTGAAGACCGGTGTGTATTGGAAGACATGACGAACATCTACATGTGTATAGTGGCGAGTATTGGAAGACATGACGTACCTCCAGGTGTGTACACTGGTGTTTACTGGGAAAACATGACGTACCTCCACGTGTGTACACTGATTTTCACTGGGAAATCATGACGTACACCCACGTGTGTACTCTGGGGTTTACTGGGAAGACGTGACGTACCTCCACGTGTGTACACTGGTGTTTACTTGGAAGACATGACGTACCTTCACGTGTGTACACTGGTGTTTATTGTGAAGACGAGACGTACCCTCACGTGTGTACAGTGGCGTGTATTGGAAGACATGACGTACATCCACGTGTGTACTTTGACGTGTATTGGAAGACATGACGTTACTCCACATGTGTACACCGGCGTGTATTGTGAAGACATGACGTACCTTCACGTGTGTACACTGACGTGTATTGGAAGACATGACGTACCTCCATTAAGCAGCAGTTTCCGCAGCATCTCGTAGAACAACTTTCCGAACTTTGGGTCTATCCGCAGAAAGTCGTCAGCCGTCATGTTACACAGCTGGGAGCCCGTCAGGTCCTGGAAGGCCTCAGCCCGCAGTTGACTCATGTTGAGATCCTGCTCCTGTCCCAGGTAGAACAGCCAGTCCAGGACCTCCTTGCAGTTCCAGTGTTCAGGGTGTTTCCGGGTCCAACTCAGGAAGCTGTCTTGATCTGCGGACACGGAAAGCACATTGTCAGGTCATACACACCATGAGCGGGGTACATTCTACACAATTGTACCCGGGGTCGATGTGCTGTCACCGCATTGCGATTAACCGTATACAGTTTTCTTATACACCTGACATGTTCAAATACGCAACTACAACATAAGACTGGTTGTCGACAGAACGTTCAGTGGTATCATAAACAAATCAAGAATCACCACCCAGCGTATAACGACACGCCAACAATATCTTACCTACCCACAACGATGTGATAAAACAATCATCAACCTACCAAAGCTGCCAGCCAACAACCAACCTTCCAATGCTGCCAACCAACAATCAACCAACCAAAGCTGCCAACCAATAACCAACCTACCAAAGGCTGACAATCAATAACCAACCTACCAAAGCTGACAATCAACAATCAACCTACCAAAGCTGCCAACCAACAATCACCCAGCAAAAGCTGCTAACCAACAAAGTTGCCAACCAACAATCAACATACCAAAGTTGCTAACCAACAATCAACCTACCACAGCTGCCAACCAACCATCAACATACCAAAACTGACAATCAACAATCAACCTACCAAAGCTGCCAACCAACAATCAACCAACAAAAGCAGCCAACCAACAAAGTTGCCAACGAAACATCAACCTACCAAAGCTGAAATCAACAATCAACCAACAAAGGCTGACAATCAACAACCAACCTACCAAAGCTGACAATCAACAATCAACCTACCAAAGCTGCCAACCAACAATTACCCAGCAAAAGCTGCCAACCAACAAAGTTGCCAACCAACAATCAACATACCAAAGTTGCTAACCAACAATCAACCTACCACAGCTGCCAACCAACCATCAACATACTAAAACTGACAATCAACAATCAACCTACCAAAGCTGCCAACCAACAATCAACCAACAAAAGCAGCCAACCAACAAAGTTGCCAACGAAACATCAACCTACCAAACCTGAAATCAACAATCAACCAACAAAGGCTGACAATCAACAACCAACCTTACAAAGCTGCCAACCAACAATCAACCTGCAAAAGTTGCTAACCAACAATCAACCAACAAACGCTGCCAACCAACAAAGTTGCCAACCAACAATCAACCTACCAAAGCTGCCAACCAACAATTAACCAACAAAAGCTGCCAACTGACAACCAACCAACAAACGTTGCCAAGCATCAATCAACCTATCAAAGCTGCCAACCAACAATCAACCTACAAAAGTTGCTAACCAACAATCAACCAACAAAAGCTGCCAACCAACAATCAACTACCAAAGCTGCCAACCAACAATCAACCAACAAAAGCTGCCAACTGACAACCAACCAACAAAAGCTGCCAAGCAACAATCAACCTATCAAAGCTGCCAACCAACAATCAACCTACAAAAGTTGCTAACCAACAATCAACCAACAAAAGCTGCCAACCAACAATCAACCAACAAAAGCTGCCAACTGACAACCAACCAACAAAAGTTCCCAAGCAACAATCCACCTACCAAAGCTGCTAACCAACACCCATCTTTTATCCCGCAATCAACCAGTCAACGGGTATATGCATGACCCCGGTGTATGCATGACCCCGGACTGTCCATCCCATGACCCCTACAGAACCTCACCTTCAAACACTTCATCTGTATGGGACGGATAGGATTTCTTGCAGGAGTTGTTCCGGCTACAGGAGTCGCTGCTCGACTCCATGTCACATGACCTCCGCTCGCTGCTCTGGGAGCTGAATCTGCAGGACATGCCGGACGTGAAGTACTGTGGCGGCGACGAGGCCACACTGGCGGGGAACTGCACGTGACTCTGCTGCATGCTGTAGTTGGGACTAGGACACTGGGAGCCATGGTAACTTCCGGTAAAGTTTTGTTCGGCCGCCATGGCAGTCAGTTGCGTGAAGGGGTCATAGCCGCTCTGGAACCCGTTGTCATGGAAACAGTCATTTTGCGGTACGGGATATCCGTAGTCTGACACAGGGTACTATGAAGGAAAGAAATGACGTGATATCCTTGGGTACCTTTGGAACGCTGCCATGTCATGCTCATATCGGTTGCACCCTGATAAACATGATATCCCCCATGGACAAGTAAGAATGATAATGACATTACCCCGTGTAATACGATTGTTGTTGTTTAACGCCGCCCTCAGCAATATTCCAGCCATATGTAGACGTTCTGTAAACAATAGTTTATGGACCAGACAACCCAGTGATTGACATCATGAGCATCGATACACGTAACAGGGATACATTGATATACTCAACAAAGTCAGTAAGCCTGACCACCCGACCTTTGACATTTGCACCATACAAGTTCCAAACATATGTAGTCTCTATATTATGAGATCGACCATCAAATGCGTATTTCATTAAACATAAGGAATACTGCTACCCATGGAAAATTGGTCAGGTGGATTAATATGTCAAACATTGTACCTTGTACTTATGCTGAAATATCTTATTCGTCATATGTTCATATATTGCTCATACCTGTACTAAAATGCTTATACACCAATTGTTGAGAAAGGTGATAGGGATGATACCACAGTGAACAAGTATTATACAAATTATGTTGGTTGGTTGGTTGTTTAACGCCGCACTCAGCAATATTCCAGCTATATGATGGCGGTCTGTAAATAATCGAGTCTGGACCAGACAATCCAGTTATTGACATCATGAGCATCAATCCACGCAATTGGGATCGATGACATGCACCAACCAAGTCAGCGAGCCTGACCACCCGATCCCGTAAGTCCCGTCTTATGACAAGCATAGTCGCCTTTTACGGCAGGCATGGGTTGCTGAAGACCTATTCTTCCCCGGATCTTCACGGGTCACAAATTATGCCAATACTGGGCACCGAATGGTTATACACAATGTCTATTTTTTGGAATGCATGGTTGTGTAAACGTACATAATATTACAGTTATTCTCTATGGGTATACCATCACTGTATAGCGTTTCACGTGTATACTTACACTATTTTACTGTTATTCTCTATGGTATCTTAACACTATATAGTGTTTATATGTGTATACCTAAACTCTTTTACTGTTATTCTCTAAGAGTATACCAACACACTATACCGTTTACATGTGTATCATGTTTAATGTTTACACGATATACGGCTTTTTCAGAAGCCAGTCACATGACCGCGAATCGGGAGTTCATAAGCGTATTAACGACACATTTTGAAGTTCATATGTTTTTCACGAGACCCTATTCCTAAAAAGACGTGCACACTGACGGACTACTTCCACATTCCCGAGGAAGTACCTGGGAATTCCCTAGTACGAATACATACAGATTGAAGCGTTCTTTCTGATTATTTAGACCCTTTAATCTTGAACGCAGCGTTTTAGCATACATTGGCAAAAGTCAAAGAGTTTGAGGCATGTCAGTCTGCGAATATATCCTCGCTACGACCCTTCTTTGTGAACAAAACGAAGAAATGTACACACAAACTATCGTAGTGTCTACTCGATCCGTGTCTATATGCTGACAGTGACAGTCTTCAGCAATCTATGAATTTACCTAAGTATCCATGATGACTTACATTTGTAGTCGCCACAGGTTCAATAAGAACTTTGGACATCTCTCCTGTCGCGTTTATCGTGTCGGCCATTTTGGCGTCCTGTACTTGTTGTAAATGTATTGCGACGCGCTGTCCTTGTGACTGACGTTCTGAGGTATTCCTTAACAGACCTTTCTCATCTAATAAGGATAGTATCTTAATACATGTGGCGTAACTGTAGAACAAGTTGAACATACATACGCTCACATCACCTTTTCGTTTGAGGAACTATCTTATTCCGCGATACAGCTGGTTGTCAGTATAAACATGAAGTCCCACGAACTGAATAAAATTGTACATACCTTCCTCGAGGTATAAAGGAGTGACATAAAGAAACATAAGAACTGACATTCAATTTGTGTGAGTAAATTGGAGTAGAACCCGTCATAGAATGAAGACCAAATATTATGGTCCTCACTTGATGGCTCAAACTCAAATGAATTCACACAAAGTGAAAATGAATTCTTAAATACTTACACTGTGTTATGCTCTATGGTACACTGACCCTGTGTAGCGTTTATATGTGTATACTTACACTGTGTTATGCTCTATGGTACACTGACCCTGTGTAGCGTTTATATGTGTATACTTACACTATATTGTGGACTGGCAGAAGGCATGCTTGTACAATCCTCGTCGGTAGCTGTGACGTGTTGGGACGGTGATAATAAGCGGAATTTCAGTTCTGAAAATACAACGAAATTGTACGTCGATTAATATACCTGGTTGGCCATCGACTTCGAACATAATGAAAACTGTCACAGCTATGCCCGTGTTGATATACTGCATCAACTATGAATGTCTACATTAACTCTGCAAGCTACGTCCTCATCCACTTTAATTCTGGAAGGTTTGTCCACATCTACGGCGACAGCTACGTCATCATCTAGAAGGCCAGCAACGCCCACAGCTACTTTGACACTTACATCTTCAACGTTCGACACCTTTACTACACAGCCTGTCTTTTTCGAAACATCCTGGTTGTCTTTGGTTCCGACAGCTTCTGACGAATGGCAAACGATCACACATACTTTCGCACCATACAAATAGCACAACAATATGAATCATACCGTTCATTCATTAATTATAACAAAAATACACCCTGTTGTTATTTTCCAACACTTATAGTCCCTGGATATTGACAACTGATAAAATATATGCCACAATATTAAAACCCCACTACTCGTAGAACTGAAGTACTGAAACAGTTGTTATATTGAACAACAATCGTGGCGAGGGCGTGTTTGGGGTAATTTTCCTTCAGTTATTGACAGGCATCCTTCCCACGTATGTTTTCAAACATAATTAATTGTCATTTTTTGTCATTATTCATTGTTATGTGAAAGGTATGTCAGTTAACGGAAGTGTTAACACTCTCGGCCTCCGACATACTGAACTGTGTGTTATGATGATGGCATATAATATAGGTATAGCAGCATGAAGAACCCAAACAGATGCGGAAGCATAGCCAATTTTCAGGCGAAATTATTCTTTTGATACGAAATGAAAATTCTGAAGCAATAAATCTGTTATTCACCCCCACGCCTTGTCCAAAATCTCATGATGAAGCGTACTGGCACAGAGTATCTGAGGCAGCTCCCCGCTGCGGATGGCGAGAAGACGCGACACCCGGTTACTATGTGACGTAGCTCCAACAGCGCGATGTGAAATGGCATAGGTGCGAACTGAATGAGGCTGTCAACAATATCTCTGTTAATATACATGAGCGCCTGCGATAACCGATCTGGCCACTCACACGTAAGGGATCCGCCTTCCGCGTCTTCCCATTGGCTCATCTGAGACGCGTTCGGGCGGTCTGTAGGACTGTAATGTATGCTTGATCAGCGGAGATCATCAACTTTGATCTGGACCTGGTTGTGTACCTGTATTGTTGTAGCGCACCGTGCATATTTATGTCAATAACAATTTAATTTGTAAATAGTTTATTTTGTTGGCTCCATCCCACGCCACTCATGTGTCTTGCTTTGCACATTTGTCATCAGCTAGCACTTCTATCGATGACCTAATCTGTCGTTTTTTTCTCACACAATTTGCGGTTACTACTTCATCAGGTTAATTATTTTACACGCAAATGGATAACTCGTGATGACCGATAATACACTGACACCATTTATTTCATATATTAGAATAAAATAGGTAGTTGACAATGGGGACAACAAAAGCATGCTGGATTATATCTCATCGGGAAGTAGTGACCAAAGCGTAATGGTATTGGTAACTATGTTGGTATTTTTGTTGGCATATTAGGTTTTAATAGAGAATCTCACCCGTGTGTCTGTTGATATCGAATATATGAACACGAGTTGATAAAAGTGGAAAAACTCCGAGGCTTGCTTCATTTCGTATCAGTGATGTTAATGGCAAGGAACAAGAGGTGATAACATAAGGGGCTATGATGTTGATACTATCGGACCAAGATCTGGCACAGTAGGCATCACCCAAGTCTTCAGAAAATGGGGGGCGGTCAGGTAGCCTAGTGGTTAAAGCGTTCGCTCGTCACGCCGAAGACCCGGGTTCGATTCCCGACATGGGTACAATGTGTGAAGCCCATTTCTGGTGTCCCCTGCCGTGATATTGCTGGAATATTGCTAAAAGCGGCGTAAAACCATACTCACTCACTCACTCACTCACTCACTCACTCAGAAAATGGTGGCCACAGAGGAGGCATTGATGTTAACACCATCAAAACAAGTTGTGGCAAGATTGACATCAATTATGTGAATAACAAGAACAAGTGGTGTAAACATTGACGTCAATCATGTTGATACCATTTGAACAAGTGGTGCAAACATTAACATCAGTTATGTCAATACCATCAGACCAATTGGTGCAAACATTGACATCAGTTATGTTAATGACATCAGAAAAAGTGGTAGCAGCATTGCCATTTATAATGTTAATACCATCAGAACAAGTTATGGCAACATTGACATCAATTATGTTAATAGAATCACAACAAGTGGTGGAAACGTTAGCATCACGTGTTTTGATACCACCCAAACAAGTGGTGGCAACAACGAAATCGGTGATCTTAATACCATCGGAAACATGATGGCATCCCACCTTAGATGTTGATACAATCAGGACAAGTTGTGGCAACATTGTCAACGGTGATTTAATTACACCATAGGGACAAGTGGTGGCAACATTGTCAACGGTGATTTCATTACACCATCGGGACAAGTGGTGGCAACATTGTCAACGGTGATTAATTAATTACACCATCGGGACAAGTGGTGGCAACATTGTCAACGGTGATTTAATTACACCATCGGGACAAGTGGTGGCAACATTGTCAACGATGATTTAATTACACCATCGGGACAAGTGGTGGCAACATTGTCAACGGTGATTTAATTACACCATCGGGACAAGTGGCAAAAGCGCCATACACGATGTTTATACCTACAACAGCGCTACTAGTGATGTTAGAACCATCAGAGAAAGTACCAGTTTAGTAGCCGTCAATTTATTTATGCCATCGGCACAAGTTGAGGCAACGTATCAGTGATGCTAACACCACAGTACGTGGCAGCCAACATGAGCGAAGCGATGTTCACACAACTAAACCGAACTGCAACACACTCCACCAGAGCAAGTGTTGCCAGCAATGAAACGATGTTAATACCATTAGAGCTAGCTATGACAACAGTGAATGCTTTTAAGGGCGTACTCATTGAACTATGCCGCTCTTTATTGCCAAGTGTGTACAAGTCTAAAGCTCCTTACGCTGTAATACAATTGTATTGATTTTCAAAAGAGCGATTGGTCATTTTGGATTGACTGATTGCAGCAGAAGAGTTTTATGTGATGTAAAATGTATCTCCTCAACAATCAAAACGCTGTATTGTACATGCCTGAGTTAAAAAGTGCGAATTGCTTTACGTGAGTTTATCATCTTATAAAATCATTGATGCTATCCGCTGACGTTTTAAAGTCGATTTGCTCGGTAATCTCATTACATTAAAATCCTTTATTGTCAGTCTTGGTGAATAAACGCATTTAGTTTATCGCGTCTACTCAAGTGCGCACACTGGTCAAACACACAGCTCCTCGCGTCAATCTGATTTCCAGGACGCAAAATGAGGCCGAGATAGTACGAACTCTTGTCGTAGTAAGTGAAATGCCCCGAAGGGAGCGCACCTGGGCTGCTTTAAGGCGCTACAGGTCCGTTTCGTGAGTTAAGGACAAACTACTCCGAGATGAAGGGCGAGATTTGGCGAGAGTATAGATATTGTAAGTGATAGGTGTGTGTCACCTGTCAACAAGGAGCGAGGCTGACAACTCGGCGCATGGCGCACTGCTACACCGACTCCTCACAGCGCCGCTCTACCCTCGGGCCCAGTATGCCCCAGGTACTGTGTATAGGTGATGAAGCGAGACGGTAGTGGATGATAAAAGATGATTATGCAAATGACACGCTTTTGCTGAGTAATTCCTAATGTGATCATATTCGGATGGTTTGATTCATGAAACACTGATAGCGAGTTGATATTAAGCTTGATGAGGCACACCTGCTTATAACCTCGTGCCCTTCATACATGGTTGAGAAATACACTCGTTGAAACAAATCTAATTTTTCAAGTTTACGGTCGATGTGTACCTGTTAAACAGATTATGAAATTACGAAATTCCAAATATCTGTTGAACCTCGCATCTGTGCTTGAGTGAGTGAGTATGGTTTTACGCCGCTTTTAGCAATATTCCAGCAATATCGCAAGAATTGGGCTTCACACCTTGTACCAATGTGGGGAATCGAACCCGGGTCTTCGGTGTGACGAGGGAACGCTTTAACCACTAGGCAACCCAACTGCCCCAATTGTGCTTCCGACGTGAGCTGATTGATCAGTAGTGGTACGTGTGTCGCCAGGGTAGGGGCGGTGGCCGTATCATCACAAACTGTTTCTGTTTTGGTTCACGAAACCATCAATCGTCAAAAGTAAAACAAAATCATTGTGTAGGCAATAGCTCCTGAACAGAAAACATTTTTTAAATTTATATATTTATGAGAGAAAACTTTCTTTTCCATATACATGTACTAAATTCCGACACATTTTTATGAAGACACTCAAAAATAATAAAAGCGACAAAACACGAAATAAGACGTTTAGTTAGTAGTTATAAATTAAGTTACGGGAGGGAGTTGGTACATTTTGAAAAAAATACTCTAAAACATCTTTGGGTTTTACTCCAAATGTATATCGGTTACTGGATGTTCTAAAAAAATAGGAATTGGTAAGAAGTGTTTTGGGTTCCCCTTTCAAAGACAAAAGATGTATGTAGTGATGAACTGCAGGAAAATCTTTTGTCGCAAAAACAAATCCTAGACCCATCATAGATACATCTTCAGTACAACGCACATGGTTTTACGCAAAGAAACATAAATCGCCAACACAACACAAGGCTTCGCGCAAACAATAGGTTTTAAGACAACGCACACCGTTTACGAAGGCACCACAGACATATTCCATTTGACATTATATTTCAAACTAAAAGTATTTTATTTTCTGTTTGAAACGCACAACCGCTGCTCAACATATCTTTTAAAGCATCTCAAAACGCAACGACAGTACGTTCTATACACCATGCTGTCGCCTAGCAACGTAGATATCTTCGACACAACATATTATCTTCAAACAGCCCAAAATATCCCCATGCAACATA